TCAATAAGATGGGGTTTCCATGGGTTTCGCTCTCAAAAAGGTGGTGTTTTTCCATGGGTTTCCCACTCAAAAAGATGAGGTTTCCATGGGTTTCCCACTCAAAAGATGCTCCCATTCAAAAAGATGCGGTTTCCATGGGTTTCCCACTCAAAAAGGTTGGGTTTCCATGGGTTTCCCACTCAAAAAGATGCGGTTTCCATGGGTTTCCCACTCAAAAAGATTGGGTTTTTCCATGTGTTTCCTACTCAAAAAGATGGGGTTTCCATGGGTTTCCCACTCAAAAAGATGGGGTTTCCATGGGTTTCCCATTCAAAAAGATGGTGTTTCCATGGGTTTCCCACTCAATAAGATGGGGTTTCCATAGGTTTCCCATTTAAAAAGATGGGGTTTCCATGGAGTTTCCCACTCAAAAAGATGGGGTTTCCCACTCAAAAAGATGCGGTTTCCATGGGTTTCCCACTCAAAAAGATGGGGTTTTCATGGGTTTCCCATTAAAAAGATGGGGTTTCTATGGGTTTTCCATTCAAAAAGATGAGGTTTCCCACTCAATAAGATGGTGTTTCCATGGGTTTCCCACTCAAAAAGATGGGGTTTCCATGGGTTTCCCACTCAATAAGATGATGTTTCCATGGGTTTCCCATTCAAAAAGATGAGGTTTCCATGGGTTTCCCACTCAAAAAGATGCGGTTTCCATGGGTTTCCCACTTAAAAGATGCTCCCATTCAAAAAGATGCGGTTTCCATGGGTTTCCCAATCAATAAGATGGGGTTTCCATGGGTTTCCCATTCAAAAAGGTGAGGTTTCCATGGGTTTCCCACTGAATAAGATGGGGTTTCCATGGGCCTCCACTCAATAAGATGGGGTTTCCATGGGTTTCCCACTCAAAAAGATGGTGTTTTTCCATGGGTTTCCCAATCAATAAGATGGGGTTTCCATGGGTTTCACATTCAAAAAGGTGAGGTTTCCATGGGTTTCCCACTCAAAAAGATAAGGTTTCCATGGGTTTCCCACTCAAAAAGATGGGGTTTCCATGGGTTTCCCATTCAAAAAGATGCGGTTTCCATGGGTTTCCCACTCAAAAAGGGGTTTCCATGGGTTTCCCACTCAAAAAGATGCGGTTTCCATGGGTTTCCCACTCAAAAAGATGGGGTTTCCAGGGGTTTCCCACTCAAAAAGATGCGGTTTCCATGGGTTTCCCACTGAAAAAGATGGGGTTTCCATGGGTTTCCCACTCAATAAGATCGGGTTTCCATGGGTTTCCCACTCAATAAGATGGGGTTTCCATGGGTTTCCCACTCAATAAGATGGAGTTTCCATGGGTTTCCCACTCAAGAAGATTGTGTTTTTCCATTTCCATGGGTTTCCCACTCAAAAAGATGCGGTATGGGTTTCCAACTAAAAAGATGGGTTTTCCATGGGTTTCCCACTCAAGATGGAATTTCCATGGGTTTCCCACTCAAAAAGATGGGGTTTCCATGGGTTTCCCACTCAAAAAGATGGGGTTTCCATGGGTTTCCCACTCAAAAAGATGCGGTTTCCATGGGTTTCCCACTCCCACTCAATAAGATGGGGTTTCCATGGGTTTCCCATTTAAAACGATGGGGTTTCCATCAGTTTTTTCATGGGTTTGCCACTATGTCCTGACCAAAAAAGGGACGGCGCCCTTCAGGAGACCGACTTTTCAGAGGTGGGCGTGCCGGAGGAAATCGCCAGCGAGGCTGTTGCATGTCATGGCCGTTCGTTTTGAAGAACTCATGATATTACTGATATAACTGAAATCAAAATCCTATGTAAAGATATCTAAAAATCTTTAATCACTCATTAATATCTATGAATATCTATGAATATCTATGAAAATCTATGAAATTCTATGAATATCTATGAATATCTATGAATATCTCTGAATATCTATCTATCTATCTACCTACCTATCGATCTATCGATCTATCTATCTATCTATCCCTCCATCTATCCATCTATCTATCTAACTATCTATCTATCTATCTATCTATCTATCTATCTATCTATCTATCTATCTATCTTATCTATCTATCCTATCTATCTTATCTATCTTATCTATCTTATCTATCTTATCTATCTTATCTATCTTATCTATCTTATCTATCTTATCTATCTTATCTATCTTATCTATCTTATCTATCTTATCTATCTTACCTATCTTATCTATCTTATCTACCTTATCTACCTTATCTACCTTATCTACCTTATCTACCTTATCTACCTTATCTATCTTACCTATCTTATCTATCTTATCTACCTTATCTACCTTATCTACCTTATCTACCTTATCTACCTTATCTATCTTATCTATCTTATCTATCTTATCTATCTTATCTATCTTATCTATCTTAGCTATCTTATCTATCTTATCTATCTTATCTATCTTATCTACCTTATCTATCTTATCTTTCTTATCTATCTTATCTATCTTATCTATCTTATCTATCGTATCTATCGTATCTATCTTATCTATCGTATCTATCGTATCTATCGAATCTATCTTATCTATCGAATCTATCGAATCTATCGAATCTATCGAATCTATCGAATCTATCGAATCTATCGAATCTATCGAATCTATCGAATCTATCGAATCTATCGAATCTATCGAATCTATCTAATCTATCTAATCTATCTAATCTATCTAATCTATCTAATCTATCTAATCTATCTAATCTATCTAATCTATCTAATCTATCTAGCTAGCTAGCTAGCTAGCTACCTATCTATCTATCTATCTATCACTGATATATAGATCTTTGGGGAACATATCATTTGGGAACTAAAGATTTCCGACTCCGATCGCTGGGGTGGACATGGACCAAGTCCTGGTGATGGATTCAGCAAGCTATTTTTGCAAAAGACTGAACGTTGGTGAAGTTTTGAACTGAGATCCACAGCAGGTTTTTTCCATTCAGAAAAACAAAATCATAGAGGTAGCTCCAAATATTTTCTGAAGTTGCGTCCAGTTTCTAGCCATAGAGGTGAAATCGGCAGCCGAGACCTCGATGGCAGAGGGCTGAGACCTTCAAAAAGGTGGAAAACGCCAAGAAAAACCTGCAGAAAAAACACTTTGCAAACTCGGTATACTTGGTTCAATGTTTTTTTTGCTGGTCAAACTCATAAAATTCATGTAAAATCCATGGTTTCCTCAGGATTCCCCTGATTTTCTCCTCATCTTCTGGTGAATCTTCCCATCAGAGCTGAGGGCACCGAGATCACCGACGAAGACTTGGTCTGGGAACCCATGCATGGGGAAAGCCGTGGCTCATTCAACTTACTGCCAACTTGGGTAACCTCGTAGTGTTGCCATGTTTGGGTCATGTTTCTGGGGATGAAGCCTTCCCTTCCCAGGGGAACATCAAGACCCTGAGCGAGCGAGTCATCGAACTCACCGAATACCGAGCTTCCCTGTCGGAATATTTGAAGGCGCAGGGAAAGACAATACACATGTTTTTTTTTACCTTTTTTTACCCATTACCAATCTATTACCAATCTATTCCCACTATCTCCAGTGCATTGACTGGGATATCAAGGGGATTTTAAGATGATTCACTGGGATAACGGGATAAATGGAGATTTAATGGGATATTTTTCTGGGATCGACCCTCCGGTAAAACGTGGCAAGCTGGAAGATTCCCGAACTCAAGCGAGGTTTTTATGGAAACACATACATATCTAGAAACGATGGATGTTCCATTGTCGTGTTTGATTGCCAGAGGGTACCTAACTTCCAGAATTGCTAGTCTTCGAAATTGGGAGTTTGAAGCCAAGTTTGATAGCAGTCAACTCTATGATTCCTGATCTTTGTGAGGCTAGCAGCCGGGGTTTCCCAGAAACGAAGGGAGACTCAGAGGAAACGCCCATTTTCAATGGTAAACAGCCAGGGTTTCCGTCGATTTTTCCCTTAAACCAACCCAGTCCAGCGTGCCAGTTGCGAATGACGGCCATTGCCCCCAATCTCACCTACATGGTGGGTGAGCTGGTTGGGGCTCGGCTCATTTCGCAAGCAGGGCAGGGAAGCTCAGGTCACGATTTTTGGAGAGGGCGGATTGCCAAGAGCACTCACCTGGGGTCAATGTCCGCTCCCAATTTGAATTGGGAGTCACCAGTTTTTTTTCTAGATAAGTGGGGTTGGAAAAAACTCGTTTCCACTAACAGCTGGATGATTTTGAGGCTCCAACTGTTCACTTACCAGAGGATTTTAGTCACTATGAATGGTTGATTTGTTGGATATAGCTTTGGTAATATTATCCCTTAAATTTTAGCAACACATAATCTGTTACAATCTGTGTATATATATATTACAAACATATATCATATAACCATGAAATTCACCATGAAAGCTGATTGAAAGAAGCCGTCCAGAGGTCGCTGATGAGTTTGGCGAAGCACCCCTCGAGTACCGTCCAGATTCTCGGAGCGGAGAAGGTGCGATCTGAGGGCTGAGTTGGGTCTCAAAGTCACCAGTTTTTTTTATGGGAAAACCATCGGAAAACCATGGGAAAATGGTGATTTATATATATTTATATGGAAAGATCCACCATTTTCAATGGGAAAATCCACTATTTCTATGGCCATGTTCAATAGCAAACTGTAACAAATTACCAGAGGGTACAATGTTATATGTAGGGTATGCATATATATAGACTGGTTCGTGGTTTGGAACATGAATTTTATGACTTTCCATTCAGTTGGGAATGTCATCATCCCAACTGACAAGCATATTTTTCAGAGGGATTGAGTTTCACCAACCAGTCGAGTTTTGTCGTCTTTGACTCATAGAAGTCTATGGGGAGACGTGATTGTTTTGAGGGTTTCTTGTCCAAATGCTGGACACGTCCGACTTCTTGGTCGAAGAAAAGCAGTGGTGACACCGCGGAAACACGGTGACCATCATCCAGAAACGAGGGGTGTTTTTGGCTATTTATTTGGCCAGGAAATTGCCTCTGGTTATGCTGATCTCTGCAATACTGGCTAACAACCGTGGCTTCTCATAAGTTTTATATAATCCAAGTAGGGATGATACGTCATAAATGATTTCTGTTGATATGCTCTATCTTTCCCTAATGGGAATGCCAGCAGTAGTCCTGGGTTTCAATCTCTGGGTCTGGGGAAGTCATGCATCATTTCGCACCTCTGAAGCTTGGTCACCTGTGACTGTTCACCATGGGGTACGTCTTACATCCATGGGTTTAGAAACTCATTTCCACCATTAGCAATAAATTGGGGATAGATAATCCACCATTTTCAGGTACACAAAACCCAGCCACATCATGTGGCAGGCACTCTTCAGAGCATTGAAGACCAAGAAGCAAACTCCCAAGTTGGGTCCTTAGTCCAACCAGAGGCCTGTGGTTGGAGGTAGCTCTGGTCACAGTTTAAGATTCAGGGTATCACATTTTTTGGTTCCCAATTTTGACCGTAGTATCCTCCAAAAGATTGGTGAATTGTAGCGGATCGAGTCACTTCCCGATGAAATCGGGCCGGCGTCAGGTACGGCCTCATCTACCATGCCTCCTTGGTGGGGCAATCTGCTCCAGCCCTCAAGGTGCTGAAGATCTTGATCTTGGCGTGCAAAGTTTGGGGAACGAAGAGAAGTTTAGGGGGGATGGGATATGATCCGACATGGGACATCCGATATGATGGGATGATGGATTTCCCATGAAGGATCCAACTGGAGGTGAATTTTGGGATCTGAGCAACTGGTTTTGGTGGTGCTTAAGATGTGTGGGACACAAGCCTTCACAACCTTTGGTGCCTTGGTGTTGCCTGGGAAATGGTCATTTTCCTTTGGATTACCAAAGGATGGTAGGAGCCATCCGAACAGCCAACTGCAAAGACGCACCAACATGGTGTTGCCTGGGAAATCATGTCCAGTCACTGTCCAGTCACCATTTTTGCCGTGCTTTCCACCGTTGACTCAGAAAATTTGCAGGATTGAAGGCTGCAGTACCATAGTCTGCTGCCACTTTTCCATATACAAGTGAAATCACTATACTTTGCCACTTAAATCATCATACTTGTTGGTTCAATCCCAATTTTTCTCGATTGATAAACACTTGAACAAACACCCTATCTTTTCTCAAATCCTTAAAAAAAATCATCAATATCATAATATCTCAGGTTTCCAAGTCAAGATAGTCAACATATGTCAACATCAATCAGGGCAAGATCAGCCTATGTTGATTTTCAGGTTTCTAAATCAGAAAGTCATATGATGTCATCCATTGTCATCCCATTATTTTCTGGGTGATTCCCCTACCGTTTTCAGTAGAAAATCACCTGACTTTCAGGGCAAGATCAGCCGCGTGCTGGCCGCCAAGCTGTCGCTCTGCTGCCGCGTGGATGCCTTGGGCGACCAGGTGCGCTGGACTGGATGATTGGGAACGGTTGAGGAGAATATTAATGGGAAACGTATTATCTAAAACCATATTATATAGATATATTAATTTTGTATATATATATGATATCTATCATATATTTATATATCAAAGATATATAGAGAGATACATCACAAATTACAAATCTCTCTCTCTCTCTATACATACAGATGATATTATATTATATGTGTAACCTTTCCATATTTCACGATCTAAGACCATCTATAAGGGTGATCTAACCAACAAAAATGGTGGCAACATGTGGATACAGTGGCATATCAACATATATACATATATGTATGTATATATATATGCATATATATATATAAGACATGGATTATTAACCACGAAGTTATCGGGCGCCGATTTGGAGGCCAGATGATTCCCTGTTTTCACCGCGCCAGGTGGAACCCACTTTGGGTGAGGACATGGGTTTTTGTCGCAGCCGGCAACATTTTCGCCATTCCAGCAACATTTTCGGTTGATTCGCCCAGCACTGGTTTCATGGTACCCAAGAATCACAGCCCTATGGGTGTGTCTGAAAATGTTGTGTACCCCTTTTTACCCAATGGTTTTGCTGATCATTATCCCGATTTTAAATGGCTATTTCATTGGGAATATACCCTATTTTCAGACAAACCCCTATGAGTGTTGGGAAACTTTAGCTACTGATATTTCCAGAAGTTCCATCGCACCCTACCTTTCTTGGATTTCTTCCCAACCCTAAGCTGGCGCTGTTCCCACTTCAGGAGTTCAAGGAATACGTGGAGAAGCGCCTCGCGAGCCTTGAGGAGCCGAAAGCACCATCTTTGGATGTCGCTTTCTGGACGTTTCTGGTGAATTTGCCCTTCAAACCTCTGGAATCTCAGGAAGGTGGCATGAAATCGATGACCAAGGGTATCAGCAGGCCGAACTTGGAAGTCGGTGTTCAGGTTCCTGCAAGCGTCCCGAGTTCCTGCGGGTCAAAATGGCCTTGGAAATTGATGTTCCAACAGCTGGGACTTCAGGTTTGATCAAGCAGGGGTCTATTACGGGTACCCTGTGGCCCTGTGGTAATCAAACATGGCAATGTGAATTCCCTCCAACAGGAGGCTTCAATGGAAGAATTTTCTGTCCAACAGGTGACTTTTCCATTGCCATGTTTCTGATTAGCAGAGGGTATATACGGTATATATGTTAGGATCAATGATGGCAATAGCTCAGCCTGATGGATCAGCCAGGGAAACAGTGGGGTACTTGTCCCCCGCAGTGGTTGCTTAAAGACGATGCTTCCTACAGATTTATCATTCGATGCTTGAGATATCATCGTTGCTCTTCGTCTTGCCGACGAGGCCTAACGTAGGCAAAAAGGAAAAGAAGTCTGGGTGCCCAGCTACACCGAGACAGCAACAAAACACTTTGACCTTGGGTCTAGAAGCCAAACTGGTAGATCACCCTTTACACATTTTGGTGGACGCCTGGAAATTATGAAGGAAACATCACCGAACTAACATCCTGGAAGCACTTTTTGGCATCTTCCAAAGTCCCATAGTTTGGCTCATTTCCCCAAATGGTCATGAATTGGGGTAGCCTTGCATTTTTGGACAAACCAATGTAGATACCCCAAGGGTAATGCAAGAGTTTAGCTCTGGAAAATCATCACATTTTACAGGTATTACAGGTAAATCATCCAAGGAAATGGGCCATCGAACTACCATAGCTATGCGAAGAAATTAGCAGAGGATGTGTTAAAGTTCAGAAGATCATCCCATCTTAACTGGTGACTGGGCGAGAAATCTCGGCCCCCCTTGGAACTGGGGACTGCCGTTTGAACATGACTTTCAACTATCTGTTGGAGATTATATCAAATTATATCCTGTGTACAACTGGATGATGTGAAAAAGTCAGGAGAATTTATACTCTAAAGCCTTTGATAGAAGGAACATCATCCAAAAGTGGTGGACATTTTCATACTTTGCACATCCAGTTGCCATTCCTCCCGACTGTCCGTAGTAGCCAAGCTGTTTTTGTTAGTTTCCAGAGATAGGCCAGGCTGGGACAGTTCGGGGGTCCATGGTGAGCTGAGAAATGTCATCCTGAAAGTGCTTAGACAACTGATTTGCTGATCATTGTGGTCCCCTTGGAATCCAAAGGAGAAAAGAAGCTTTGGGGCACTTTCAAGAAGAGTGTTTTTCATGCCAGTTGGAGCTATGATCAATCCAGTTTTATTGGGACTTAGGATCACTGTTTTTCACCGCCTTCGGCGTGGCCGGCCACCATGGAAAAAGCTATCCTGTAAGCCGTAAAGAGCCCTGGCACAGGCCCAGCAAGACCATTGTTTTTGTCCAAAACATGGTGTTTGTGCATAAGACGGTTTTTGTGTAAAACAGCTCTTTGTGCAAAAGACGGTTTTGACGCAACAGCATTGGTTTTGTTCAAGCCACGGTTTAAGTTTAAACCAAAGCATGTGTGTAAAGCATGGTTTTGGAAAAGGCCATATTGAGAAAGGCTTTGGAAAAGGCCATATTTAGAAAGGTTATGCGTGTAAAAGGTGTTCGGTACAAAAGCCAGTGGATCAAATATTGGATATAAGAAGCGACGGAGCAAACCGATGGCAAACACAACAAAAAAATGGAAACAACCATCGAAATGACAGCAAGATGTGCAAAACCAAGCCGGTGTTGAGCGAGGCGTGGGCAGAGTTGAGCCCACCACAACGTAAGGAAAGATGAAGCCAGGAGGGGTGAGGAGGGGTGGGTGGGTTCAAGTTAGACGAGGGAAAAATCCGCGCCAAGGGGGAAAGTCTAGGCTCTAGACAGAGACAAAACAGACAGTACAACGAGCAAGCAAGATCCACAAGACGCGCCGGCAGGCGGATTATTAACCAGTTCCTAGCACTGGACAAGGCATCTCTGTGGCAAGGCCATGGAGTACTGCAAGAGCCACTATGCCGCCTCCACGCTCTCCGAGCCTCTGACCCTGGCGTCTATGGCTGCTAGGCTCTGACTGAAAGGGGAAGGGAAAGTGGCTAGTCAATGCATCCATGTATGGCCATAGAGTTCGAGTTATAAATCATCAATTATCCCACAACATATCTCCCAAAAGTAGTTTTTTTTTTAAATCAGGAAAAGGGGGGACAATCATCATCATGATGGGAAAAAATTGCGCAACATTATATTTTCATGGCTCAAAATGACAGTGGTCGTTTTTTTTTGTTGATTGGGGAAAACGATAATGATAATCCATTTGGACCGAGGGGTAGGCCTTTAGGTCATGTTCGAACCCAAATAGAGTGTTGTTGTTTATATATTCACCCCGCTTCGCGTGGGGTGGCCGCCCACACCGCAGGTTTATTTCGGTCCGTGAGAGGGGCTAAGGGTGGTTTCCCCCCGTGGGGGCTCCCCAAGCTAAGAATTTTCACTTTCCCCCCGCGTGGGGGCTCCCCAAGCTAGGGAATTTTCACTTTTCCCTCCCGTGGGGGCTCCCCAAGCTAGGGAATTTTCACTTTTCCCCCCCGTGGGGGCTCCCCAAGCTAGGGAATTTTCACTTTTCCCCCCCGTGGGGGCTCCCCAAGCTAGGGAATTTTCACTTTTCCCCCCCGTGGGGGCTCCCCAAGCTAGCTAGGGAATTTTCACTTTTCCCCGCCGTGACAGCTTCCCAAGCTATGGAATTTTCACTTTTCCCTCCCTTGGAGGCTCTCCAAGCTGCGGAATTTCAAATAGCTAGACAACGACGCCTAGATAGTCCCCCAAATCCCGTGTTCTTTGAATGTGTTTCCATGTTTTTGCAATGGTTTCCTTCAAAGCACGGTACTTTACACTTTTGTCGCCATAAAACCGGTCGAAAACATCATGTTCGACAATGCTTCCAATTCCCTTATCTCCCCAACCGTTGAAAATACCGCTATTTACAGTGTTTTCTTCAATTTTTCCATGTTCCAATGCCGGTAGCCAACTCCAACATATATATAAGAAATCCTTCCAAAACATTGTTTTTGACAGTGTTTTTCCAATGTTTCCAGTCAAACAGACGGTAATTTACACGTTTTTTGCCATAAAGGCAGTAAATCCTTCCAAAACATTGCTTTTGACAGTGTTTTTGTAATGTTTCCAGTCAAGCATACGGTAATTTACACGTTTTTTGCTATAACGTCAGTCCAAAACACTTGTTTTTGCAGTGTTTTCAATGCTCTGGCATCCAAAAACCTGCAAAATCTTGCTATGTACAATGTTTTTTTCATTTTTGGCCGTTTTTCCATTGCCGGAAAGCTACCAAAATGACCCAAAATTCCATTTCAATACCCTCTTGCGCTCAGACACCCAAAAATCCTCGAAAAATGTCGAAAACACCACCGTATTCTGGTCTCGGTGCGAAACCGTTTTTGGGCCCCCCCCCCCAGCTAAAGCTGATATAGCGACTGCTATATTGACAAATGTCATTGAGCATTTAGTGTTGCTGTTTTGCCCCCCAATAAGCACGCCTTCACCGCCAAAGCGGTGTGGGCGGATTTATGCCAAGATTCTTGTTGGTTAAATCCCTCTCAAGATCCATGAGCACACACATGGCAGTGTGTCAAGACCTTGTACCCCTGGTGAACATCAAAATAGCTGGTAAATGGATGTTCATCCCCCTAAAAATGGTACTTATAGATATTGATCCATAGCCACACATATATATATATACACATAGTCAATGTATCAATCAATGTATGCTTAAAAGATGGTTGTGGAGTTATAAAAAAAATCAACATCTCCCACAGCAAGTCTTGGGCCCGGCGCAACAGCGCCGGCAACAGATGTATCTGATGTTAGCTATGTTCATTCATGGGGATATATCATGGGGATATACTGTAATGGGGATAGAACAACTGGTCTACTGAGTCTACTGATCGTTGGTGGTTTCACGTGCATGTTTCATTTTCAACCCATTCGGAAGTATGTCTGATGGTTGCATAGTCCCAAGTTATGGTTGCATGATTTTTCAGTTGAAACTGAAACGAACAGCCACATGTTTTTCAGTGGCGCGCCATGATTTGATGGGTATGGCGACCACGAACGGGCACCATTTAACCGAGCATTTTGGGACCCACAATACCATGTTCATCTTGCATCTGAATTATGATTAGAATAAAACATATGGTTCGAATAAACAATATAACGATTGACAAAAAGAACAAATGTTGATAAACTTAGCAGTGACAATGATATATGTACCATAAAGCTATATCAATGATAATACTGACAATACTGATAATAATGATGATATTGCTAATAATGGCGATATTGATAATAATGATCATGATAATGATGGCAATGATAATAATAGTGATCATGATAATGATGGCAATGATAAATGATGATACTACCAATGATTAGAACAAGAGCAATCATTATCAACATCAACATCACCGTGATAATAACGATACTAACGGTAAGATACTAATGATAATATTGATAGTAATGATAACCGTGATAGCAATGATCATTAAGATAGTTCACTTTCCCATCTTTCTCATCTCTTTTGGGCGTTCCCCTGCAACGGTACGAGAGCTCAGGTGGCAGTGTATTTGGCACTTGTACCGGCCGCGGTGTTTTTGTATCGAGGCTGGCATGCTGTAAACCACCATGACTGGAGATGGTTTATACAACCCATCAAAATGGTGAGGGCTTGGGCATGGTGCAAATGACATTGGGTCTACCACATTAGCTGATTCGATTTTTATGTAATAGTCATGAAACTGGGAGACTGGGTGGCATGACTTTTCTGTTTTTGAGCAACACATATCGTAATTTTACTGACAGTTCATTGAGCAAACCATTCTTGAGTGGTTATGATGGGGCATTATACTGCCTGCTTCAAGCTATAAACTATTCACTATGGGGATCCCTATTAACGCCTGGAATGGGTCCAGAGCAGATTCTGACCGGGGAACATGAGGGTTTTGTTTTGTCCCGCCATCTGGGTTTTTTTAGCCAATGACAAGCCATCCCCAATCACCATTTTTATGGGGGGTTTAAACCATTGCCCTATGTAAAAAGATAAAGAATGCGTGGAATTTACGCTTTGAGAACCAAACATGTGCGTCTCAGCGGCCGAGTCAGTTTTTTTGACCGGCTAGATTTTTGAAGGTCAGGATCCATGTTTTTTTTGAGGAGGGGTTGCGGAGTCATTGTAGGCCAGCCACCTTGGCTAGATTTGGGAGGCTGGTTATGGCCTCGCTCAGCACAGTGCTGGATTAATGTGCTTCATTTGCTTCTCAAAACGGCAGATGTTATATCAGCATGGCCAGCATCTACAAGAGATATTCGCCAATGCCCTTTTCGAGGCCAGTACATCAGGATGCAAAAGTTGTTGCTCCTTCTGGCTGTGACCATGAACTTGCGTTATCTGGTTTTCGGCATGGGCCCAGGACCTTTGCTGCGGGGTTGGTGGATGTCCAGGGGTGATACCCTGGTGGCCCTGAAATTTGTGGGTGCCAATTTCATCAGTGATGTATCACTTTTTTTGGGGACACGGTTCATAAACTGGGGGTTTATTCATCCGGGGTTTGACAATTTTCTCACATTTACTGCAAGCAAACTTGGGATAGCGCCTGGAAGTTAGCACCAAACCATCAAAGATGGGTTCAGAATGGGTCTACCAGCGGCACAGTTGGCTGAATTTGGAACAGTTCCTCGAATCCAAGAATTTTGATCCGTCCAACTCCCAACTTGCTCCAAGCTATTTTTTTCGGTCCTTTTTATGGCCGCATCATTTTAGGCCACTTGTTGGGGGTCCGGATCCGTCGACGGTCAGGCATTTCTTGGTTCACCAACTTGTTTGACCTGGTGAACTACCTCTTCATTGGTGACCAGACCAACTGCTTGGAGGTGCCCACGCTGTCGAATGAGCTGCCGGAGAATACCCTGCTCCAGATGCAGCTCGAAAAGAAAGATGGCTAGAAAGTCTCCCAGATTTGTTTGAGGATATTGATATATGGATGATATATGTATATATATATATTACAATATACAATATTATATATATATGTATTATATGATAGATTTTAGATGATTTATAGATGAATTGTATATTTCAAACATGTTTGATGAATTGAAAGATGATCTTCACAGATTTTCTCCCATGACACCGCATCCCAGGGTTTTCTCCACTCACCTGAGCCGGTTACAAGCCTGTGTTTGGTGGTTAGGGCCTTGGGTATCACTAGAGTTTTCCCGGGAAAGTGGGATGTTTCACTCTGAAGCCGAAGTCTCCCCGATTCGGACTGAATGGATTCATGATCTTTCTCTTGGCAAGGTGGAAGAAAAAACAGTTTTGTTGCTGGCCATTAGCAGCTCAATGAACTGGGCATGCCACTTTTTCCTAGGTACACCTTCCACCCTAGCTGGGCCACCGATTTCTACAATCATTTCATGGGTAGCGGTAGCGACCTCTCCAAGTTGCTTGGCAAAGGATGGTAGCAGAGGGACGGAAGTTGATGTGTTCCAGAAATTGAGTGGTAAGAATGGTACAAGGTTGTAAAATTCAGTGATCAACTCCTCTTTTGGGGCACGTTTTTTTTTGAATACAGTAGCCATAAGAATCATAAAACAGGACAACTTAAGCTGTATGACTAAGGCGGTGAAGATGGGATGAGATCTCTTAACATGAGACGAAGCCGGAGATGCAGAGGGAACATGACATTGCACGACTTTACATACATGACATTAGATTAGATTACATGACATTACATGACATTGTAAAATGACATTACAACATGACAATACAACATGAAAATAACATATGACGGTGCAACATGGCAATACATGACATTACATGGCAGTACAGTACATGTTTATACAGGGCCAGGACATTTCATACATGAGAATCATGAGATGACGCGACACATGACATGTCCAAGAGTCAAGCCAACAAGAAGAGCTAACTCCAGAAAAGAGACATCTCAGGACAAGAGCTAGCTCCCAATTCTTGTTCGCATGGATGCTTCTGCCTACCTGCCTTGTGCGGGCGCTTTGCGCCCATAGAGCATCATAAAACCATATCTACATCTGGCCCAGCTATGTATGGTTTTATGATGTAGATATATTGGTATTTTATATATGGTTTATATCTAAGGTTGTTTGATATATTACCTATATGTTGGTTATTTTATATATTTTATATATGTTGGTATTTTATCTATGATGTTTTATATATGGTTTTCTTCCTGTAACCTGGGGTCAACTGGATCATTTTCCTGGGGTAAAAACGTGACTGGGCTAGCTGCGCCAGCCATTATGAACCATTATTAGTCACTAAAAAAAGCAGCTACCCCAGTAATTAATAGTGACTAATAATGGTTCATAATAGTGATTCATAGTGATTATTAGTCCATATTAATAGTGGTTATGAATCATTATTAACCACTATTAACCACATTATTAGTCATATTATTAGTCATATTATTAGTCATATTATTAGTCATATTATGAAAAAAAACAACTATTATTAATCACCATTATTAACCACGAAAAAAACCACATTTCTTTTTTTTTTTAAAGAGCCGCGTCTTTCACTTCCTGGAAGTCAGGCTCTGCCTGCATGCGCACGTCATCTTTCAAACTGCTTGCTTGGTGCTGCGCCTTGACCTGGAAAAAGTGGTATTTTATGTTGGGAACATGGCATGACCAATGGATTTTTGGAGGTACCAGAGGTACCACATTTTCAGACACCGCCACAAAGCCGTAAATATGGAGGCTTCCTAAGTCACTGTAGCCCCATCAAAGTCATGGATGACCATGACACCATGAATTAGTATAGGTTAACCTAGGGTGACGACTGGGGACCCCATGACTTAAGAACTCCACATATGTTGCTTCTGTATGTCCATTTGTATCACTTGTCGGACGGCAACAGTTCCATGAGCCAATGGTACTTCTCAGGGTATGGTGCCTCAAAACAATCGGATCCCTATTCAGCAAGATAATTTTTGGAGGTTTCCTGAAATGGGGGTACCCCCAAATTATCTACTTTAATAGGATTTTCCACTATACACCATCCATTTTGGGGTCTCCCATTTTGAGAGCTCTCATCTAAACAATGAGATAGTTCATTGAATCACACAATCGTCTCATCTACTTGGTAATTGTATTGGCCCCACAATCATCAAGTTAGATTGCCAACATCTCCCCCAAATTGTCGACAAAAATCAAAGGTTACACTGACTTTGGTGGATCCAGAATGGTATCCAATTTTCGCTGCAGATATACATCACCATGACCATTATCGACAGATCCACATCAAATCATTCTAATACCACTAAGTCTCTATCAAAAAAAAGAATAATACCCACTTTGAACCCTCACAAATCGGTCTCCCAAATCCATCAACCAGAACCATTAAAACACAACCCGGCTGGCAAATAACCCAAAAAATAGGGGTCCTCGTAAACCAGTGGAGTAGTGCAAGAAAGTTATACCCTCTGGTAATTTTTTATAGGTAAATCATGGTAAACTGGTTGGTGGTTTGGAACAGTTTTCATTTTTCCATATATTGGGAATAATCATCCCAACTGACTAATATATTTCACAGGGGTTGAAACCACCAACCAGTAAATCATCACAAATCATCTATTTCTATGGGCCATGGCTTCCATAGCAAACGATTGAATAACCAGAAGGTATCATCCCCTCCAATTTCGATCTGTTTGTGCCATATTCTTTGCTAGCAAAGAGAGCTCCCAATCCACATTCTCGACTCCAAAATTGGATCGTTTGTTACAAAATGTGCCCAATTCCCCATCAAGACTTTATCTCCATCCCCAAATCTGTCGAGATATGAATCATGTTTGATAGCCCCAATAGTTTGTAGGTTGGAATCCCCCAGTTTGATTGCCCCAAATCCCCAGTTACCAATTGAGTACCCATCATATCTTCTGTTGCTTAGTTATATTATTCTATGTTCCATTTGATATCCCCATTTGTAGATAAATTTTCCCATTACTGTGTGAATTAGTGAGTCTGTCTGTCTGTCTGCCTGCCTGTCTGTCTCTGTCTGTCTCTGTCTGTCTCTGTCTGTCTCTGTCTGTCTCTGTCTGTCTCTGTCTGTCTCTGTCTGTCTCTGTCTGTCTCTGTCTGTCTGTCTGTCTGTCTGTCTGTCTCTGTCTGTCTCTGTCTGTCTGTCTGTCTGTACCGCATTCCTTGTGCTCTCCAGGCTCCAAACGATCATTTTCATTGTGCCCTCCAGACTCCAAGCAATCATTTTCCTTGTGCTCTCCAGACTCCAAACAATCTCCAGACTCCAAACAATCATTGTCCTTGTATTCTCCAGACTCCAAACAATCATTGTCCTTGTGCTCTCCAGACTCCAATCAATCATTTTCCTTGCGCCCTCCAGACTCCAAGCAATCATTTTCCTTGTGCTCGTCAGACTCCAAACAATCATTGTCCTTGTATTCTCCAGACTCCAAACAATCATTTTCCTTGCGCCCTCCAGACTCCAAGCAATCATTTTCCTTGTGCTCTCCAGTACAAGCTTTGACTGGTTACGCCGTCGGTACTCACCGGAAAAAAATGCGGTGCCTTGACTGTTTGTGATCAGGTCTGTATCATGTATCCCGGTTTTCATCCATGTGCACTTGTAAAACATTTTCTGAATTTCATCAGGACAGTGAATAAAAATAAGGTGCATATTTTTGATTGTTTTTTGTCGATGGGGTTCAGTTTGCAAGAAGCCATGCAGTTACCATACGATATGTTTGAACGTGGCTCAAGAGCAATTTCCACGGCGTTCCAATGGTATAAACTGCCATGGCAGGCTTCTTGACGGCATCATGATTGTTTGGTGTATTTTTATGCATGTGTGTACATAGACACACCCTTGTAGCCTTTCGATGCATCCACTAAGGTCAATCTTTCGATGTTGTGGTGCGCAGTGAATTCGGTGCGCCAAAAATGCTCCGAATGACCATGTTGGCCACCGTGGACGATCTCAAGGCAAGACAGACTCCGTTGTTTTTTTTTTCGTTTTTGAACCCGCTGCAAAGTTGTGTGGCAGGTCGCATGGTCGAATGCAACGTGGCTGGCTTGGCCCGGCCACTGCTTCTGCGTGGTCGGCCGCAGCCGAGTGGTCAAGGAGCGCTCTACAACTGTTAAAGCTAACTTGCACATGCATTGTTTCAGGACCAGTTACTTTTGCCGCTTCTTTTACGTGAGAGAACGAACGTGGTACTTGTGTTTCACAGCCGGTGGCTTGGGCCGGGATTCACCCCGTCGCGTTTATAAAAAATAATGTTTTTTTCGGAAAGCTGTCTCACCGCGGAGCAAGAAGAATTTTAAGCACGGGCGTGGGTCGGGCAGTGAGATATCGGGAACGATCCAATGAGGCTAGAGTGGCAAAGCTGTCTGAAAAAAAGATCAGAGTTTCGGATGAGGGTGTCTGAAAAATGTTCTCATGGCACAGATAAATGATGCCCCGAAAGCATCATGAACACACCGTTTTACACACTGGTACGCAATTTGATTCCTCAGAAATGCTTCCAGGCCAAGACTCTTGGTCGTGATGCATCGGGTGGCAGGGGAAGACCTCGAAAACTGTCAACAGTGTACACCCTGGATGCCATATTTTTTGTCTGCAAATCGGGTTGCGCGTAGTCTTGTTTGGTTCCCAGCGCCTCTCGGGGCCCGTGTCGGCTTTGTCAACTTTGTCAATTTTGTCATCTTTGTCAACTTTTTGAGCAGTAGTCAGTCAGAGTCAAACATCACATCCCAGTGCATGCCACCACAGCGCATGCATGCCATCACTGTGCAACAGTGCATGCCATCACAGTGCATGCCCCAGATCTACAGCAATGCCCGGGTTTTTGCCAAAAACCAATGGGGGTTGGGTGTATCCAGTTCCCGGAATGGTGTTTCTGGTTCCCGTGGTGGTTTTTTTCCCGGAATGGTGTTTTCAGTTCCCGGGAAGGTGTTTGTGGTTCCCACAAAGGTGTGTCTGGTTCCCACGGTGTTTTGGGTTCCCGCTTGGGTGTTTTGGGTTCCCACCAATCTACGATCGCGAGCTTGCGGTGGTGGTGGTGGTGGTGCTGGTACTGGTGCTGGTGCTTGTGCTGGTGGTGGTAGTATAGGGAAAGGAGTGAAGGGAAGGGAAGGGAAGGGAAGGGAAGTGAAGTGAAAGTCGTATCAACCCTGCGTGCGTGCAGTGAACACATTTAACCAGCTGAAGCCATGGAACAAGGAACACCATGTCGTCGTTGTTAATGTTGTTGTTGTTGTTGTTGTTGTTGTTGTTGTTGTTGTTGTTGTTGTTGTTGTTGTTGTTGTTGTTGTTGTTGTTGTTTGGTTGTTGTTGTTGTTGTTTGTTGTTTGTTGTTTGTTGTTTGTTGTTTGTTGTCTGTTGTCTGTTGTCTGTTGTCTGTTGTCTGTTGTCTGTTGTCTGTTGGCTGTTGTCTGTTGTCTGTTGTCTGTTGTCTGTTGTCTGTTGTCTGTTGTCTGTTGTCTGTTGTCTGTTGTCTGTTGTTTGTTGTTGTTGTTGTTGCTGTTGCTGTTGTTGCTGTGTTGCTGTTGCTGTTGCTGTTGCTGGTGGTGGTGATGGTGGTGGTGGTGCTAGTGCTGGTGCTGGTGCTGGTGCTGGTGCTGGTGCTGGTGGTGGTAGTATAGGGAAGGGAAGGGAACGGAAGGGAAAGGAGGGAAGCGAAGCGAGGGGAAGGGAAGGGAAGGGAACGGAAGAGATGGGAATTAGGGAAGGGAAGGGAAGGGAAGGGAAGGGACGGGGAAGGCATTAGAGAAAGGAAGGCTAGGTACGGGAAGGGAATTCTGGAAGGGGACGAAACGGAAAGGAAAGGGATGGGAAGGAAGCAAGGGCAGGAAGCAAGACAGGGAAGGACCGAAGGAAGATTAAAGGAAGCGCAGGAGGAGAAAGGGAAGGGGGAAGGCAGGAACGGAGGAAAGGAAACAAAAATAACAGGAAGCGAGGCAGAAGCGGAAGAAATGAGAAAAGGAAAAAAAAAAGGAAGGAAGCAACGAACAAAGAAAAGCAGAGAAGCAAGAAGAAGCAAGAAGAAACACCGTACCGGAACCACAAACACCGCCATGCCGTTCCCTCTGGCCGGGAACCGGAAACACCATTCCGGGAACAGAAAACACCCACGGGCGCCCAACACACCATTCCGGGGAACAGCAAGCCCGAATCTGGGAACTGAAAACACCCCAGCCCGGGAACTGAAAACACCCTGGGAACCACCGAACCCTCCGGGAACTGAAAACACCATTCCGGGAAAAAAAACACCACGGGAACCAGAAACACCATTCAGGGAACCAGAAACCCGGAGCCCAACCAATGGCCGAAGAAGCGATCTACCTGCTCCAAGTATGCCTTCAACCACAGGAAGGAGTTACTTGCCTAATATCTTTGTCTAATGCTTCTGGTGGTGTATATGTGAAAATGGCATGTAACATAAGTCTGTCCAATGGCTGTCTATTCTTTGGCCTTTCCACCCATCCATTTTCCCATAACGACATACCTGCTTGTTAACCAAGGTGGATTTTTGAGAATCACTTGGAAGGCCACCCAGTTTGCGAGCGACTGATCGGTCGCCGATGATCGGCCAAGTTTCAATGGATCAGACGTGCTGGCAGCAGC